AAAAAATCTATTTAATAATTAGGCCGTCGAATTGGTAACACAAATATCTAAGCCATTGGGAACAGGTTAATTGTCATTTTTATTTTTTCGCATACCACAAATCAGCTTCTAATTAGGGCCTTTGAAAAAAAATGCGCAACTGTTGTACCGCAAAAATGATAGGTTTCGATCATTAAACGAATTCATGCGTAAATCTAGCTAATATTTAGCATTAAGCCTAAAACAGTTCATTGCAAAACCGCAATTGTTAGAAGAAAATGCGACCCAATGTCCGTGAGTCAACTTGGCATAACAGCTAGAGCCGTCTTGGTGGTGGGACGCGAGACTCCAACTGAAAAATAACTGAAGCGGTTTTAATTGTTTTACCAAAAACCCGCGGCTTATTATGGTGCAACCGGTTTGAGTATCGTGGATCTGCGTTTAATATTTTCTTTTAGTTATTTTGCGTAAGATGGACAGAGCATGTTGGTTAGTTCTTATGATTTTTCTTACAAAGTGCGCCTCAGGGTCCGGCAGTGAAAATGGGCAAATCAAACAGGAAAATGCAAAGGAAGACTCAGTTTCCACTCAATCCTGGCGAGGATCACTCACAATGTATCCCACTGTTGCTGCCTGGTCGTTGCAAACTACAATCCCTTTTGCTTCTCATAATTCAGGTAAAGTCGCCTTTTTCCTTATCGGTTCTGGTTCTAAAATGGGATGGTTCTGGCATCGCTACAATGCTGATGCTGCGAAAAACCCCTTCCAGCTTTAGATGGAGGAATTGTTGTTGCAAAAAAATCTGCCAATGGGAGGGGATGATTTGTTGCAGCAGATGGTAGCAATCAATAGATGTATTCTTGACTGTAATAATCAATAGCTTTAAATGCAATATTTTATTTTTATTTTATGCTATCGACGACAGAAAAAGCACAGTTAAAAGAGGTCCTCAGTAATGCAAGCTAGCTCTTCCTAGTTGGCGACTCTGACGCAATATATAACACCTACGACAGGGTGTTTAACGACAAAAAAAGCAGTAAATTTATATTCTAAGAGACATTGACTGTATTTTACAGTTAAGCTCGGCATAAAATGAATGAGGAAAATAATGCTGATATGCTTGTAATTATACAGTCAAATTTAGTGATGATTTTTTACATAGACGTGCTAAGCAGATGGGGAACAAGTGTAGAAAAAATGTATTTAATGGGTGCTTAACTGATTGTAGAAAATGAAACCGACAGATGACTTGATGCACTTTTAAATTTTCCAGTGTCAGCACTAATCGAAAAATCAGACGATGAAGGACGAGGCGGCAAAAAGTCAGGACTCAAGAAGAAAATGAAGAAATACATGATGCCCTTGCTCATCGCCTACAAACTGAAGTTCTTCACCTTGATCCCAGTTATGATTGGCGGCCTAATTCTTCTCACAGGAGCCACAGGATTGGCCGGATTCTTTTTCGCTCTATTCGCAGCAGTAATGGGACTGAAAAGCGGACATCAAGAACATTAGTTTCATTGTGGTGGTTCAGTTTCCGATAGGACTTTTCAAATTCCTTAACCATTCAACCTGTTCAACCTTAGCAAAATAATGTTCAGTTTATGCTCATGCCCCGAAATCGTAAATAATTCCACAAACTAACGGCATTTGATATTTATGCGAGATTCAAACCGTTGTATAAGATTGACAGCAAACAGTTCATTCAGCACCAGCTGTTCGATGTGCATGCTTGTAAAGTATTCCAATATGGTTAAAGGATCAGCAATCGGCACATTGCCTGCATTCAGAACCTCAGGCAAAAATTTAAGCCTCAATAGATAAATCACCGTCCAATTGTCACTAAACATGAGTGAAATGCTGCAAGAATTTAATTAAATTAATGCCTAAACCTGGTCTTTTTCTGTGTAAATGGATGTACATCGTGATGAGTCGTTAACGTTTTCTGGGAGCTAGTTAAAGATCAGTGGCGACAGTTTTGTAAATTACCTAGACGGGACACAAGATAAATTGGTTAACTGGTTATACTTTTCTAGGGCGCGCGTTCTTTATAGTTTCTGCTTGCGTAAATTGAAGAGTTTGGGAAAACACGGTATCCAAAAGAAGTTGTTGTTTCATTTGTAATTGCTCTATTTGTCTGCAAAAACCCGAAACATGTGTTGGACTAAAAATCCAATTAATTGAAAAATTTAAGAATATTTCAACAAGTAAACTACAGATTAAGTAGAAAATCCCCAATTTTTCACATTTTCCAGCTTAAGACCGAAGAGGAAAAAATAACAGGAACTTTTAATCACTTCTAATCCTGCGAATTTTACTAAAACTGTTTTCCTGATATGACGCGTTTCAACAGCACTGACAAAATGAACTGAAGAAATATATTCAACCTACATTTAACATTAAATTCTTAATTTGTTAATCTTATTTTGTTAATTCCTACCTATATCAGGTAACCTAAGGTGTGTACATATTTATGTTTATGATTGATAAAATTCAGATAACTGTGTCTGCAATGGATTCATTATTGCTTAGGCAGCCAGTAATTTTTAAGAAACTGTACACTCAAAAATTATTTAGTTATTAAAAGCGCGTTGTATTAATCATATCCCAATACTTTTGTCGGCTTATCAGTAATTTAAAATATGCAGCAAAATAAAAAATTGAGGGTATTCAGAGATAGTTACAATTTTATTTTAGCAGTATGTACGATGAAAAGTATAATAGAAAACTTCAAGTAGTTAAAAGTTGTAGTTTTATTAACCAACGTGTCGATTTCCCTATGACCTAAAGAGCAGCTGAATATTGCGAGAACAATAGCGCATTATTTAATTATTTTCATGCAGATTTGGAACTTCTTTTATAGAATACCTGTTCCAAATGGCACGCGCCTGCTATTTAAAATTCACGGTTGATATTTTTTCATGATATCTGCTTTGATATTAGTCACGGTCCGATTCTCAGACCCGCTGAGTTAATGTAGAATAACAAATCACTCGTTTAGGGAATTTATTCTTGGATGAGTCCACTATTATGTCATTGAATGGACACTAGCACACAATCATATAGTAAATCTGCTGTCCAAAAATCCCATTTTAGTTCTCAAGCAGATTATCGATTTTGGCCAGTTTTTTTATAAGAAGAATTTAACCACAGTGTTTTGCGCCTTTAATTCTGGTGGAAAAATTTAGGTTTTTTGCATAAAGTTGTCAGTTATGTTATTTATCTTCAGCTTTCTGCGCGACACCTACAATTGTTTTTTTTTTTGTTAATAAAATCTCACGTCAGAACGAACCAAATGTTTGGAGAATCGGCAAAATTTTGTTAAGCGTATTTCGAACTGCTTACAATAGATTGCAAAAGTTTTCTTTTGATTACTCGTTTCTGCATATATTTTCTTAATATTTTGTTCGCAGATTTCGAGTAAATGGAAAATACCCGATAGAAAAAACCTCCACACTTCTTATTTTCATTTCCTTCGTTATTCTACATCCTACATCTTATATTCCTTCTGCTAGACTTTCCAGACTTTACTCCGAATCAATAGTATTTCCTTTCGGCGTACAACTGTGAATAATTCCAGTGCACAATTTAAAAAAATAAATGCACTACAATCAGTGAGTGAATTACTGTGGTAAACAAGTAATGACGGTTGCCCATAAATCTACGATACTAGCAGTTTACTATTAGTGATTTTCCGGAACTAAACAAATAAACAAACAGCTTTTGATTTTAGCAATTTTATGCAAGGGTAACAGTTAAAAACGGACCGCACTTAGCCCCATGAAACATCTTTTGCAAAATAGAAAACCTAATTTGGAAATCGATACTATTTTCACTGGAATATGTTCCGATTCAAAACCTATCTATCATGATTCTGGCGGGTAATTCTTTTCTATTTCCCTACAAAAGCACAGATTACACATATCGAATCTTAGAGAAAATCCGATCCTGCATGGAAAATAGCATAGGAAAGTGTATGGGCACGAAGAAGTCATTTTTTTCTGCAATGTTTGGCAAGCTTGTGCGTGTCACTGTTTTATATCTGTTACTTCTATTGACGTGGGTAAAATGTCTTTCAATAGCGAAAGCCAATGCAACATTCGACGAATCAACCAGCATTTCTATTAAAAATTCAGGTAAGATTTCAGGGAATTAAATTTATCTACTTCAATTCTTCATCTTTAAGATCTCTATGAAGAATCCAGGAAAAGCAAGAAAAAACACTCATATTTATTCGGATTAATTCTTGGAGCTGTTCTGTGCAAACTGGTTTTATTTCCCGTTGCTGTTAAAGCAATGGCGATCATGTCTAGTGTTTCAGTACTGCTGAGCGCTATGAGCTTGATAATTTCTTCCATTGTTGGCTATGCAAAGTTAGCGGCTTCCAACATCGTAAGTTATTTTTCATTTAAGTTCATGTCTAACGCTTTTCCTCAAAAGAGCTGGAAAACTGAACTTTTCTGAAAATTTAAATCATTTTCAGGTTAAAGTGGTACACGTGAAAGATGTCTGGTCAAAAGGAGATCAACCTCCGCTCGCTTATATTCAACCTCCAGATGGGCATAACAATAATAATTCCGGCCCAGAAGAGCTTAACCAACGTTTGAACTAACCCAGGGAAATGTTAACATGTAGGACAATATAATGCATAAAAATAAAACTGTTTGGACTTAGAAGGGTTTTCATTTGATTTTTTTATGATTCAGGTTGTGAATTTTAAACATTTACAATTTTGATATCGGTTTAGATTTTACAATAGTTAGGTTTGTTTGAGGCTCGTTTTGATCTATCGACAACCATCCTGTCTGAGGGTTAGATTTTACTCTAAACATCCCAAATCTTCTAATATCATATAAGAGTCAAAAGTCAATTGGCGAAGGCAAAAATTACCAAAGAACTAGAAAATGGGAAACTCGCAAATGCTAATAAGTGCCGTTAATTAAAGATTTTGTACTTTGTTTAAAAAGTCGAATGGACTCAATACGGGATTCTAAGCTCCTAAACTGAAAACCTTAATAAATTGTTTTATAAGCAAAATAAAATAATTTGAACAAGTTATTATTTACTGCAATTTAGGTCATTTAACCGTTAGCTAAAAAACAAACGTTAGTAGCCAAAATATAATTTATCGATTTTATGAATGAACATTTTTACTTTATATAGCATTTGTCAGCTACTGTTGAACTCAAGAAAATTAATTTAACTTCATGAATTTAGTCTAGAATTAAATTTATTGAGGCAACACATGCAATTTAATTAAAGTTATAAAATTCTAATACATTAGAGTCTCAAACCGTAGAAGAATTTGACACCTTGCTTGGAAATGTGTTCAAATCTGCTCCATTAAACTATCAAACTTAAACCCGCAAGATGAAATAAATGTATTTTCCCACTTGATCACCTACAACCACACCTAACACCTAAAGTTGAATAATTCAAAGTTTTTTCAAATTTCTCGAATTTCCATGTATCACGTACATTTAAATTGAACGAGCAAACAACGCCAACTAATTAAACCTCAAAGAAATCATATTTTCACACTTTCTTTAATTTAAGTAATATACGAGATTTGAGAGTTGCAGTATATGCGGACCTAACCGAGTACAGGGCAAGACAAAAATATTCAACTTCACGCTCCAGGGGCGGGATGCTGGGAACAAGAAAGTATCAATATGTGCACCTATTTTAATTGGGTAATTTAATGCACAAATATACACAGTCAGAATAGAAAAAACAGAATTGAAATTGAACATGTTCAGATAACCGCTATACAGATTCACTTTCCTCTTTTGAGCATCGTAAATATAAATTAAACTTCGGACTTAAAAGCCAATTACATAAATTAAGTTGCGTATTACTCATTCGAACCAGTACCGCAAGCCTGTTTATAATAAATAAAATATTAATAAAGCAATACAATGGGGAATAAAAACCACTGAATATCCTGCTGCCACTAAAAGAGTGAACTAGAATGTTGAGCCAACGTGTATTGTTGAATTTTTGAGACCCAAACGCAAGTGAAACTTAACCAAATAATGTCTTGTGTAATTAAACAATACAGTTATGTTTGTTCCGGCTAGTTTTTGGTCTTTAAGCAAATATTTTACTTTTGATTTCACTGGGTCACTTTGTTTAATAGATGGGTAGGTGTCAACTTTGCATACAATGTGTGACACCTCCCTAAATCGTACCTGGACCTAATATTGGAAGAGGGGTTTTTTAAGTATAAATATTATTGTTCATTCTCCAAGTGAAGAGTCGTTAAGTGGTTTTGGTGTTGACTTAGTGCCGCTGGATTAAAAAGCCGAGCACATCACCAGTCATTTCCATAAAAAGTGATTTCGTTATTAACAAGATGAAATTGTTTTTGATTACGCTCGTAGCACTGGGATCGGCAGCATTCGGGGTTAGTGATTTATATAGTTAGTGAATGATTTTCGCATTAATTATTCAATTTTCCGTTCTTCCAGGTGCCGCTCTCAAATAATGTGGATAGCAATGAAGTGAATACAGTAAGTCAGTTGTTTGCTCATGTAATAACTGAAGAATAAATTAGTTATTCATTGAAAAATGTTAACAGCTATTTGTCTTTTAAGAAACATTGCGCGGTCATTTTTGAGTTTTTCACTCTCTGTATTTGCGGACGTCTCATTCCTGAAAATATCCAGTTTTTAAACATTTTCTTTAATTTTTGAAGGACTCCGATTTTGTGACCGGTCTTAACAAATGCGCCTTCCAATCTGATGCTGATGGCATAGTGAGCTGTGCTACTGAAAGAATAGTCAGATCCTTGGATCTACTGGCCGCTGAGTCAAATGTAGAGATTTTACCCGGAGTCTCACTGTTGAGGTAAGTCTTTTACACTCGAAAAAACATTGGTAGAACATGAAACAACGACGCAATAATCTAGTGATGGAAGCGCCATGAACTTCCGTTCAGGAAAGCAACTGAAGGAAGAACTACTAGAGGTGAAATCTAACAAGAAATCCATGTTGGATCTGGTGGCAAATGCCACCTCTCGCTTTTTTGCCGGGCGCACCCTCAAAGTAAAACTGCCCAGCAGTGAGGAGATCGGAAGGGCTTTGGAAGAAGGTAATTGAAATTGTCAGCTGATGTGATTGGATTATGAAGGAAGAATTTGCAGGAAGAAAACGCACTAGAGGAGGCAACAAGAACAAAGGCGGCATGAACATGAGCATGATGGGCATTGGAGCTGCCATAGCGGGCCTGGTTCCACTTTTCCTGGGAAAAGTAGCCCTGATAACCGCCAAGGCTTTAATCGTTGGCAAAATTGCTCTGGTGCTTTCAGCAATTCTGCTAATTCAGATGTTCAGATCAGGAAGCAGGGTGAGAGTTATTTTGTCTTAATTCACTTACGGAAGTTCTGACGATATTTCTACGTGCAGAATACTCAAGCAGTTGAAAGCATATGGAGCTCAGCCCCGCCGGCATCTTACGGCGCACCCTCAAACGTTTATGGACCTCCGGCCACTTCCTATGGAGTGCCTTCATCTCAATATCCCTATTCACGGTCCTTTAATGCAGATAATCAGGACGAACAATTGAAATACAGCCAACAGCTGGCTTACTCAGAGCAGAGGAAATGAATTGGCATGCGCCTTTAGCCGATTAATTGTATTTATTTTAACTTATTCAATAAAGTGTATTTATTATTTGTTGTTGGAAATTTGTGTTTTATTTTCGCTCGTAAATGCGGCCACAAAGGCACTAACGTTGCCATCTTTGGTGCGTCTACTTTATAAATTCCACTGCTTAATCAGATCAAGTTAGGAAGCGTGACGCGGAACGTTATTAAAAGAATGTCTATTTGGAGCACTTGTTATTAAGCTTTGCTATTCATAAATTGTTGCAAAGAGGGCGCAAGTAAGTTTATTTAAACATTATTTACTTATGGTAATATGAAATGAATGAAACGGTGCATGGATTGCATTTGTTACGGAAATTTAGATGGGAATTTGTGGGGATGGCACAGACAAAGTAGAATCAGAAGCAAGTGCATGATAAGTAACTAATTGAACTAAAACAAGAATGAATAACAGAATGGGTCCTTTGGGTGTTATTTCAGAAAAGGAACGCATTCGCAAAATTCGCAACAACAGTCCGTTTAATTGCAGACGTTTCCGTTCCTAGTAAAAAGCTAAGTAATCACAAAGGTATATTTAAAAAAACGCACTTGCACTTCAAGGTGGATATTCATATTCTCGTATTTGGTAAATGGAAAATTGAATATACAGAGTGCGTCAGTTTACATGGGCATTATTGCACTGAATAACGCACCATTAAAACAAGTGCATCACTAGCACATATTTTAATTATGCCCAAGCAGTTTCAAATTTTTGTTCAATTTTTTTTGAGTGTATTGGTGTACGTTTTAAAATAAATCTTATGTAAATCATCAAAACAAATTTATGATTAAGTAGTTCTGACCCGTAAACTTTTATATATAGTGGCGGGTTTTTTATGGTACATTTATTGACGCAAGATGATCCAAACATAAATGTCGGCCATAAGCTTTATTTAAATGGAAGCAACTATTTTTATTTCGGTAATGAATTCTCCATTGAATTCTAAGACGATTCTGGTACCATCCTATACGTCAACTCAAGATGATTCGAGGAATTTTCGCGGTAAAAAAACTATTTGCCAATCTAACAAGGCGCAAGAAGGTTTATTTAGGCCTTTTCAAGACTACAGAAGTTTGAAAAAAATAAATGAAAAGGGATAAAGTGACCGTCTATACACCGGATAACATTTAAGAACGCAAGCGTTTGTAATAAAGTGTGTATATGATTCAAGGGTAAGTACGTCAAATAACCGAGCTATAATTCTGACCAGTACTACCCTGAGAATCGGATGCAAAAAAATTAAAAATCTAGTCCAATTTTTAGCGCAAGCATCATCCCCGCGAGCACCGTCGACTGCGAACAAAACGACATAAAAATTAAAAATTATACCGTGATCAAAATAAGTAGACATTATGTTTAAGCAAAATTAAAAATTTCAGCAGATAACAAAGAAAATTTAGATTTATCGATCTAAAAACCAACTGCATGCCAATCAAATAAACCAATCCAACACAAATTTGCATAAAACTCAATATTTTTGTCTAAACTCTCCTGCAGCGGATTTTGTCACGTAAGTTTGAAGACGACCCTGTATAAATCATACTTTTTGATTATTTATTGGACATTTTTCTATCAAGCTCCCCACAATTCATCTTTCACGAAACGGACCTTTTCCGATGTTCTTAACTGCTAAAAAGACGAAACTTCCTCAACATTTAAAAGCTTCTACCTCCGAGACATTAAACAAAATTAAAATTATTTCAATAGATCGTTTTGAGAACTGGTTCTGCATAGCTAGTTTGACGAGAAATTTCTTCACTTCTAAAGAGATGGAAACAAAAACAAGAAAACTAATGGGCAAAACAGTGTGATTATCTCATATAACCGCTAAAGTTTGAAAGCGTATTTCTGGAAAACGGTCACAAATTTTAGAAAATTCTACACGGTTTTTCTTAATAAGCTTAATCCCAAATTTAAGAGCGAGTGGAGGAGATATAAAATTTTATGGACATCCCGACTTAACAGCTTAACCACAAGCAATGTTTCATTGGTACACCTTAGAAACTCCCTGTTTCAACTTGGAATTTATGTAAAATTCCTAACATTAAAAAGTCTGTAAGAGAAAGAATTTCTCTTACAGAATTTACTTCTTTCATAGCGTCTTTCGGGAAATCGGTAAGAAGTATTGAAGCAATAATTCGAATGTTTTCGATGGCACGCGAGAAACCGGTTTTTCCATATTCCATATAGAAAATACAACATTTCAAAAGTTAATCAAAGGATAAAACGCTTAAAATGCGCCGAAAATGTCTATTATTTCGAATCTGAAACTTCTAGCATGTTTTTCAATGCGTTCGAAGCATTCTTCGCGTCCGCGAGCTGAAAATTATGTAAAATTTAAAACATTTTGAAAAAATTTTAATTTTTTCCAAAAATCGGCTGCCACTCTTGGAAAAATTTCGACCAAACATCGAAATTTTACATGCGTATTTTTTTGAGCTCAATCGAATATTTTCGACGTAAGAAGGTTACAAATATGCATTTATAAAATAGTTGGGGCAAAAGTAAGGATGGAATCGCCCGTTAAAGATCGTAAACGCTTAAAAAACGCTTAAAATGTGCGGAAAATGTCTAGTATTTTGGTTCTGAACTTCTAGCATGTTTTCCAATGAGTTTGATGCATTCCTCGCGTCCGTGAGCTGAAATAATGTAAAGTTTTGAAACATTTCGTATAAAAATCAAAAATTCACATGCGTGCTTTTTGACTTCAATGGATTCCTTCGACGTAAGAAGGTCAAAAATATGCATTTTTAAAGTGTTTGGGTCAATAAAAGGAAACCGTCAGTTAAAGATCATGAACGCTCAAAAAACGCTTAAAATGTGCCGAAAATATCTATTATTTTGGATCTGAAACTTATAGCATGTTTTTCAATGAGATTGATGCATTCCTGGCGTCTGTGAGCTAAAATCGATGAAAAATTTAACACATTTAGAGAACATTTTAATTTTTTCAAAAAATTGAGTCCCACCCTTGGAAACATTTCGGTCAAAAATCCAAAAAGTCACATGCGCGTTTTTTGACCTCAATCGATTCCTTTCGACGTAAGAAGATCACAAATTTGTATTTATAAACCGTTCGGGTAAATAATAAGGAATAAATCGTCGGTTAAAAATCGGGAACGCTCAAAACACGCTTACTCGAACGGATCTGGTTCACTTAAAATCGCTAGCATGAATCGTTTGAAAAAAATAATTTTTTTGGTGTGAAATTTGGAAAAATAGCGCGAAATCTAAATTATTAGTCCAGAACCACTTGCAGCATTTTAAGGCACCATCCGCTAGACCACCACAAAGTAATAAATAAAATTTTCATTCCTTTGGCACTTTAGCCTGGATTCGGGAGGATTATTAAGTCAATATTGCGAAAATTTATAATTTCAACAGAAAAACACTAATAATGAAAACTGAAACATCATGATCAAACCATTTACTTGTTAGCCTTTTGGTTGAATTAATGACTTATTTATTTTTTTTCAGCTTGTTATTTTGTATAAAGGCTTGCTTAATGCCTCTTTAATGCTCCGAGCATTGTGAGCTACGGGATATCTATCTTGATTTCGACACGTGCTCACCTCAGTCTTTTGGTAGATTTTCCTAAAACTTTGATCTTTTTGGAAACTTGACATGCAGCTAAAACAATGTCTAAAGGGCAGATTCACATTCGGTCCAGGTCATGATTTGGAAATTTTTCTCGTTGTTCGCTCCAATGACTGCACCGGAATAGTTAATTTGATTTTGATATGAGCTTGCAAATCAATTTTTTCTCTAATTTTCATGAAATTCTGAGCTTCTCTAGACGGATATTTTGCCAAAAGGTCGGCTAAATAACAGACCACATTCCAGCCAAGTATTATTGTTCAAAGCTTCTTTGGTAGCATCATCAAGAGCGACGGAATACATTACTTGATTTTGACAAAATTTTTCCGACTAGTGGTTTGCTCGATTCTCATGAAAATTTTACCTTCAGATCCTGGATATATTGAGTATAGTCCGCTGAAATGTCAGCTCCAGATTCAAGCTGTTTGTTGATTTATAAATGCTTTCTTTTGCTCGCAGCATTAAAGCGACGGAAAACTTCACTGGGTTTTGTTTGCCACTCGCCCACAAATAATTCTCTTGGTAATTTTTGTACAGGGTGATCCTCAACTAATCCGACAAAATCCACTGACATAAAGCTTAGACAAAAATATTGCATTTTAGGCAAATTTGACTTATCCGAAAGTTAATGGTTTCCGAGATCCAAGTTTTCAAAATATAAATAAACTTTATTTTTAATGGATTTTTAACGAGTTTTACTATGACCATAAAAGCTTGTGTTTGTTAGTTTTTTGGACTGAAAAATCCACATTTCCTGACGCAAGTCAATAGATGCGTTCAAAATGTGCAGAAAGCACATAACCCATCGTACTTCCCTTAGAAAAGTTAAATACTTTGCTGGCAAATACAACCGACTGGCAGCAGCAGCAAAAATTTAACTCGCTAACTTGCACGATAGAAACACGTAAATAGTAACAACAATAATTTTTTTTATTTTCAACAACAATAAATAAAATAAATAATATTTTACTAAAACCCCCCTTCAAGCTATTTGCCTGGTTTGTAATCCGGCTGCAACCCCAAAGGCAAAGGCTGATGGTCGAAGCTTCTTCCATAACCCGAGTGCCCTCCGCCATAATCCTCATGAGCTGACGAGTGTGAGTGAGATTGACTATATACAGGCTTAGCCACAACTTCGTAGGTAGTTTTTCCGCCTCCTCCTCCCGAGCCTTTGAGGGCTGCGATCGCTGACAGTACCAAAGACAAGAGCGCTGCCATTAGCGCTTTACCTGCCAGGGCTGCTAAAGCTCCCAAAGCAATTGCCATCAGTGTGCCCTTCATCATAGCGCCCGCAGCTAAAAGGTAGCCCATTCCTCCACCGCCGCCTCCTTTGCTTCCTTTGCCGCCTCCGCCTCCACCGCCACCTCCACCACGGGCAGTCGCTCCATCAATGCTGTTTTCGCTCCACAGCTTCAGCTTAATCGAATGGTTGTTCATAAACTTGGAAACTTTCCGCATCAAAAATACATCCAGGCGAGACTCTGGATCGTTTGGAAACTCCCTTGCCAAATCAGCTACTGTATCAGCTGTGGTCGCTTTGGAAGTATCATTTTCACGCACTAATGAAACGCCAGGCAGCAGATTGTAGGAGTCTTCTTCATTGAGTTTTTCCACCCACGAAACAACGTCCAACTTGAAGCACGTTAACGTGTAAGAACTATCACAGTTTTTCGAAAACGACTTTTTAAATTCATACTTGCTCTCTTCACTGAGCACAGGAGCGGCTACTAGGAGAAGGCACAAAAGAACCGGAGGCCACATGGCTGTGATGAAGAACTGCGAGTGACTGTATCTGCATAAAATCATACCAATCTTTATATAGCAGAAAATTGTTATTAAAAAGTTTCATTTGTTTTGTTGAAAATTTGACCATTCCTCTAGATGAATGGAAGGAAATAAGTGGAGCAACAAATCATCAGCGAACTACATACCGTGAAATAGCAAATATCCAGCATCTGATCTTAATAAGGAATGACGAGCAAGTCCTATTAAATGAACCGGTCACCGGATTATGCTTTTTCTTAATCAAGTAAAAGTAACCTATTGTTAGCTACATTTAGAACGCCATTTCAGTAGTGTTTTTTTGCATTTATTTGTTTTTAAGGCCTTTCATCAATCTTGCATTTACCGCACTGTTTCTCATCCCAGAATTAGTTCAAGATTTGCTGTGCACACAACAGCATCCATTATAATGCAGTTTGCTTGTTGCTTTTGAGTCTTACAGAGATTTGTGCTATTTCTGCAAGTGTCCAAATTATTTATTATATTTTGTACTTTGGTGCATTTGGGTAAGTATTTTTCAAATTTTTTGTCTAGGATTTTTTAATATTTATGCATTTTCTTTATAATTTGTTGTTGAATTAATGTAAATTTTTTAAATTTAAATGCGAATTTTGTAACTCAAAGAAATCCAACCAAGCTGCTTCTTCTAATTTATAAAACAGATTTGATTATATATTTTTTTATGCAGCTATGAGACATAAAGCAAAAAATAAGATCATATGCCGTACATACAGGGTGTTCGAATACACCGAGTACAACACTCCACTACATATCTATACATATCTACACAACTGTATTTAATCCAGGTTTAACTTTTCTAGCCACTAGACAATTTGCCAATATTTATACTAGTTTTAGCAATACAATTTCCTTTTAAGGAATTATTCAAAATCAATCTTTAAATAGGTACTAAACTAGTTTTAGTTCTTTCTTCAGACTTTCAGCCAATCAATCAGTCAGCCAAAAGAAACATCTTAAAAAACTCATCATCAGTGTAAAGAAATAAAATAACAATATAACGCGACGGAAAATTGGAGAACATTTCTCTCGAACGAGCGATTTTCTAACATTTTCTTCCAAGAAGCTCGGTTCAATTCTATACGACGTCATTTCCTCATCTTAGAACGTATTCATAAAATCAGGTATTTGCGGTGAAAAAGCAATAAACTGCACACTTGGGTAAAATTGCAAATAACTCAGTTCACTAGTGCTGTTCAGTATACTTCAGGACATAACTGTAAAACATGCCATAAAAACTCCATAAAGCCTACTATTCATTGAGTAATTTATTATTAGGTAATAAAACGTACAAATCACATAGGACTAAAACTCTTGTTCACCAAACCAAAATTTCCTCCCAGTTGACTCGGTTGGTTTGGCTCCTAGAAATGAAGCAATCACCAACGCTATCGTTCCAAGAATGAGCGCTTTAACCGCAACTAGATTTATTACTCCTGCTATGAATGTCGAAGTCATCAAAAAAACCATTCCAGCTCCAGCTAGCATTACTCCATATCCAATGCCCCTTTTTTTCTTTTTGCTTCTACTCGTTTCCCCAGCTAGAGCTTCAGCAGCAGTCCATAGATTCAGCTTGATGGTATGAGTCTTCAGGAACGTTTCACTTTTCTTCAGCAGCGAGTTACTGTTGGCATTTAAATCTTCACTAGATGATTTTCCTTCTAGATCAACTGAATTTTCCTGGATAATTTCAACACCGGGATATACTGTAAAGCTTCCAGTATGATTGTTCAGCCTCTCAATCCACGATATGAGGTGGTTTTCCAGATCCTTAGCAAAATCAGTTGGAACAACAATTTCACTCACATTAGCTGATTTCTCTTCAGCGAATGCCCCGGTCACGAAAACATACAAAGCTAAAACTGGTAATACTACAGACATACTTGTCCGTCTGAAACCATGCCTCGAAGTGTAATTTTGGACTGAAAACTCTATCTTATATCACAGGCAAAATTCCGGTTTTCCACGACTACTCAAATCTAGACCATGTTGAAATATTACGAATGCAATTAGGTAAAGTCAAAACAGTTAAAAAATAGTGTTCTCTCAATTGTGTGTCAATTTTTATTAGAAACTAAACGGTTCTATATGAACACTTGAAACCTTTTGACAACAGACGGTTACAGATTTATTAGCTTTTACTACAACATAAAGTGCTAATTTTTATTTAAACATAATTTATTGCCTAGTTAAAACCCATCGTCAATGAAAAATGACGTTATCTTAGACTTGGAGTGTTTGAGAGAGAAATGGTTTTCGTTGCTTATTAAAAATCACAGCATGTTCAATTACAATGATTTAATCAAATGTTTATTCAAGAGGAAAAACTGCTAGCTTTTATGAAATTGATGATTGAAGTTGAAGCGAAGACAATAATAGAGGAGGCGAAAATTAAATATTAATATAAGGCTAATATTAAGTTGGATATAAGTTCAAAAATAATGAATAAATTTAATTGTGATGGTACAAAAGCAAGCATCAAGAGTTCGGCTGTACTTGGAAAGTTCAGATTTTCTAGACCTTCTTTTAATGCAAGTTTAATAAAAAATTAATAATCCTCTTGCTGATTCCGAAATGTGATATTACCCACAAACATTCTGATATGTCCAAACAATTAACAAAATGCTTATACTTTGATATGTTTAAATCACTATATCAATTAATCTGGTGGATATAAATCTGGACACTGCGGAGTCCGGATTTATGTCCACCAGATTAATTGACCAGAATTGATAGAAATATATTGACCCTCTTAAAATGCAAACCTGAAGCCCATTGAAGATAAGATGTTTTTGAACAAAAATCTTATGAAAGTGAATTAGCCGATTAGGTGTTCATCTGCTGGTTTAATATAAGGAACGGTGCAACTGATTCCGAACGATTAAATGGAGGTTCCGAAAAAAAGCAGATTTTATATGAGAAATGCCGTATCGTTAAGCAAAAAATACCAACATTCTTTCACATACTGCTACATATTTATTCCATACGTAAATTGCTACATTTGCGAATAGCATACAAAGCAAATACATACAAAAAGCTTTGTCGGCTTATTAAAAGAAGCTTCAATGAATATCCTTTTATACATTACCTAAATAATAAATAAATATTCTAGAATTCTAAATAATTATTTTACAACATACAAAACGCACTACAAAAAGTTAAATGTACTATTAACACTATCTAATGAAATTAATAACATTTACCTAAAAACTACATGCTTAGAATAAAATTGATCAAAAAATCAGAATATTGAACAATGGGCAATATACCTAATTCCGCGCAACCTATTCAAATTCACATGAAGTCTAGAGCTTTATTTGCCTTTGCTGTATTTTGTTTTTTCAACTTCAACCGGAGTAATGAAGTTTGAACTTCTACTGTGGCCTGAATAAGACTCCCACCCTTCGGAAGCCCGATGTGGGGCAGCTTGGGCAACATGGACATTTTCTTTGGACGTCAATTCCTTGATTCCTAGAATTCCAGAAAACAAAAGTGAAATCGCACTGATAATAAGTGCTTTGCCTCCTAAAACCGCCAGTCCCCAGAGAGCCAGTTGGGTGAAAACTGCAACGATCATTATGCCTGTTGTAAGAATGGTTTTCGTGTCGCCACCCTTTTTGTCTTTGGCTCGAGCACTTACTTCTGACTGGTCATTAAGGACCATCGATAAATTTACGTTGAGCGAGTGGCTATCCAGGAAGTTTTCCAATTTTCTGAGCAGGTACTGGTTGGTTCTTGAATCCGCGTCTTCCGGGAATTGTCGCGCCGCATCTAAAGCGATATCATTGTTCTGCACTTTAACACTCTTGGAAGTCACCATTGTGACTCCTGGGATAATGCTAAATTCGCGGTTCACCCCAAAACGATCCATCCAGTTCGCGGCATCCATTTTGAAGCAGGCCAGCGTGTATATTTTATCACAATAATCCACCAAATGAACATGCTCTATGCTGTTTTCGTTATAACTTAAAGTGCGGCTGGGCGCCAGGCAAAGAAAAACTGATAGGCAGAAAAAAATGTTAATCATTTTGTCTTCGCAATCTAGCAACTAGTTCAATGTAGGAAAAATTATATATTTATATACTGGCAGTAAAATCCAGTTTGTCAAACAAATAACTGTTTTCGGGTGAAAATCGTGTACCTAAATGTTGGGCAGTTAAAAACTTGCTTTAGGTCATCGCGAAAACCGTAATAATTCAGCGAAAATGGAAATTTATTTGTTTCTTCATTAAACCGCTTCTACTTGATTAGTTTCATTAAATCAATTAGTTTTAAATGGAACTATTGTTAATGTTAATGAACATCAATGTTAATTCAAATGCCCGTTACTTTCTGGAGAAGAAAGTACTGCATTAGTTTCATTGCAATCCTCTTCAAATTAATTGCTTCTTAACATATAATATATGTTTTAATCTGAATTATAATCGATAATCGCGAAGCGGTTTTATATTGTCCTAATTTTGCAAATCACATATGTTAGCAGTGCGAGAAAGCTTAGAAAGCTCTTATTTTATATGAAGGATACATTGAGCATAGACAATTATTGTTCCAGATTCGGGGTTTTTTGGCGTAGATTATCAAAAAAAAATACCGAATTTATCTAATAAGCATACGCCGGTTCTGCACTAGTAGTTCATTATCGAAAAATTCGATTTAGACAAGTCGAAGATGAACGCAATATACAGTTTCAAACTCCGAAAGAGATTGTTTGGGATGCCCAGACCTTAATCCAATTTAAATTGCTCATCAATGGTCTTAGAATGTTAATTAAAAAGGTACAGAGTGAACACAAAGTGAATGTATTCGACGAAATTTACATTAGAGTAGTTAGAAAGCACCATGTTTTTTTTAATTTGGTGCTGAACTTATTATATGTGCGTGCCAATGTAAAGTATTTCAGTAAAGTGAGAATTTTCAATTGAGTTAGATTATCTTGGGCATTGCTTGAAGCTAGTAATTTTTTCGGGACTTTAAAGATGAGATGTTGGATGGATTCAAATATGTTTTGTTGGATGGTGAAGAAACTGGTGACTTTTTCGAAAAACGTGGAGTACAAAGCTTCCTGACATTTCCCAAGCACGAGAAACTAGCATCTTCAGGTGGCTGGTGCATCGAGTAAGACATTTTTTAAGATGTAAGCCACTCGTGCTTGCCAAATGTCAAAAAGAAATTATTTTCAAACTAAAAACACCCTAAAATCTTTCAAAGAAAAATTCACCAATATCAAAACTAGCATTATACAACAATTTAAAACATATACAATTTTTTATAATGAAAAGCACATGGACTCAATTTTACTGTAAAATGTTAATAATTCATACATAGAACTTTTGATGAAATACAAAGAATTCAAGAGTATTAAAAAATTCAAATAACACAAATTACAATTACACATCAATCAAGGCTTATTTTTTTGTGGTTTCTGCGGCAAAATAACTGGTAATTCCTCCGGAGTCGTGATTGCTTTTCGGAAGATTTCCTGTGGTCACTAGGTATAAATAAACCGTTAGCTTAACCGATATACTCGTGTTTGAATAAGAATTAATCTATTATAGAGTGAATCTCGAGCTATTATATCGTGTATCTACTGAACTGGATCGATTATCAACACAACTTATAATAATTAGAGTGCTCTTAGTTCTGCATGGCCTAGAATAATGCCCACTGATTAGTACATGTTTCGTGTTGAATTTTGTGGTTTTCCTAGTGTAAAATGATTAAAAAGATGGATGTATGCATGAAACGAGACGTTTTCCTCACGACTCGCAAATAAATTAAAAAAATGCGTTTGACGTACAATTTATTTAATTAGTACATGGATTCGATAATCCTAACTTGGTCCATTGTCCAGGTTCAATGATAAAATATTTGTGAGTTGGCCTAGAAAATTATGTTTTAATTAACACATTTTTTTGAAATTTGTTTATAGTTCTTATTTCGATATTTAATTGATCACTAATGCTACTGTTATTAATTACGTTCTTTTGTGTCTGCACAAGCAAAATAAGCACACTTGTTTTTTATTTGCTAGGGATTATTTTCAAGTTTATTTATATTATATTTCAATCGCTTTTGTGACTAGTTTTTTCAGATTTTAAGAAATGAGACTCAAATGGTTTATATGGGGCAAAAACATGTTTCGCTCCATTTAGAACAATAATATTTTACAATAAATGCGTGTTTGAAACAAAAATGCAACATTTCTCATTCGAGTTTGTAAGAGTGAATTTTCATCCGTTTATTTATTAGCGGTTAAATATTAAATACAATTTTTTATTTATTGTTAAGTTTATGCAGAAAAACTCTAAATAGCATTCAATGGAAAAATTCGTTCTTGACAAAAAATATCTTTGAATCCATTCAAATTGAACAAATTATTTATATTGAAGGCGAGCCACATTTTGAAATCCCTTGTATATTCTGATTCATTTTTACCTTACTAAAACTCACATTTTTTTTAGCGAAAACAGTAACAGTTATATAATATACAAAGCAATCAATTTTGCAAAATTTAGCTTTATTTACTGAATTGAAAATTGAGACTCTACTCATATAGGGTTTGAGTGGCCTCTTTTATAACTTCTTGATGGTTCTCGCTTGATGTTTTCCTCACTGTTGTTGCGAGATTTGTTGCCCTTCGTTGAAATGTATATCTTTTACAAGCTTCCAAGCTTTTTTGGCTCAAGTTCATTTATAAAGCACATAAAAGAAACCAGAATTATTTTTGTAAGGTTGGATTGTAAATTATAAATTATGAAAACCTTAAGTAAGTTAAGCAAATTATCTAGCAACAAATAATATATACGTTAATATACAGAACGCCAAACATTGAAGGTTTTTATTTTATTATTGATTTTATTTTTAATGTTGTAAATTGATACTTGCAATGGCTACTAGTGTGTGCTTGTGCCTGTATGACCACATAAACTCAACGATTATAATTGAAGATGTAATTTAGATAAATAATATTCGGATAGACGTTAAGACATCTATAAAATAATAGAAAACTAGTACCGGAACTGAAAGTAATGCTGATGTTTTTAAATTTGGTTTTTATATGTTTTCAATATTAAGCACCGATTTTGATATTCATTTTCAGTCTGACGGCAATACAAACATGGCAAAGGAACTCAGCAGAATGTAAAAACACTCCATTGATGAAAAAGTTCACTCATCTTAAGCGTTAAAACATGGACTGCATACGAAAAGTGTTCCAAAAAACCGCGCATCAAAATAAAGAACGCGACAGTTTTAAAGCCAAACTTCACTTGATTAAGAAAACACGAAGCTGGAGCAAAGCGGGAAGATTCAAGTAAAGTCTGCACTTGATAAAGTATAAACTGGGTCGCATAGAACAATTTCTGCAACAATTTGGGCAAGACTTATAGCTAGAAAAAAACATATGGGAAGGACAGTCAAAGTCAAGGAAATTATAAACAAAACCAAATACAGCCAGAACAAATAATTTATTAAAAATAAAATAAATAAGTTAACAAACAAAACTAAGATAAAATCACAATAGAGCCTATTGAGGAGGTTTGTAGCCAGGCTGCAGAGCTAAAGGCAACGGAGCATCCCCTAGACTTCTTCCATGCCCTCCATAGCCGCCATCCCAGCCACCGCCCTCATGAGAGGTTGAGTGGGAATGTGAGGTGCTGTAGATGGGCTTGGCAACCACTTCGTAGGTTGAGTGTCCTCCTCCGCCACCTGACAGGGATTTCAACCCAATAATGGCAGAAAGCAGCAAAGAAATTAAACCGGTCATTAGGGCTTTGCCAGCAAGGGCTGCGATTCCTCCAAGGGCTAAAGCCATCAGCATGCCCTTCATCATGGCACCAGCTGCAAGAATCATTCCCATACCATCGCCGCCCTTTTTGTCCTTCTTACGAGCAGTGCCTGCGGATTCATCTTGAGCAGCGTTCCACAGATTCAGTTTGATGGAGTGGTTGTTCAAAAATCCCGAAACTTTCTTCAACATGAATGCATCCAGGCGGGCATTAGGATCATCTGGAAACTCACGGGCCAACTCAGTAACTATATCACTAGTGGTAACTTTGGCACTGCTGTTTTCCCGCACTATCGATACACCTGGAAGGACACTGATGTCTTCATTTTCACTTAACTTGTCCACCCATGAAACAACATCCAGCTTTAGGCAAGTGAGCGAATAGGAATCGTCACAGTTTTTCGCCAGCGACTTTTTAAATTCACTTCGGTCACTTTTCGTCGGCACATCGACCGCCGATGCGAAACCCGCAAGGGTAAAAACTAGAACAACCACTGCGATTTTAGAACCCATGCTGACTCCACTATACTCGATCTGCATCTGATGGTTTATCAAAAACTGTAACGGGTTATATACTGGCTCATCTTGCCTCTTAAAAAAATCTAGATTTACGGACCAAAATTAGTAGCTTGGGGAATCGAAATAAGTGGAGCACACGAAAATAATTGTGAGAGTAAGTGACAGGGCGGTGGAGATTTACAATTGCATTAGGCCACTATACCAAATGTGGTCCATTTTCACGCAAATGCTCTCACTTGATGACCAGAGAAAGGTTTTAAAAAGCGTTTTCCAATGTGGCCATACGGTAAGGCGAGATTTTTTCCTAGATAACACACAACAGTGTGTTCCCTACCATTACTAACTAGCATGCGATGGTCGCTCTTCTGTAATTTAGGCGGTCAACTTAATTTTCTTTATTTGTGGGCAACGACTTTACTGTGAGCACGTGTAATAGTTATTTTTTGTGCGTATTTTTACCTACGAAACTGCCATATTTTGGTCAATCGTAAGTACCTAAAGCTGGAGAGCGTGTAAATAAATAAATTTCCTCTGAAATTGTTAAAACCTTTTTTAATTGCCTAAAATTTGTAAATACTGGGTTGTTTAGCGAATAATTGGCTGACTGGATGAAAAAATCTGATTGGCTTTCCTGCATTTTTGGTAAGGTTGTTTTTTAGTGGTTTGGTTAACTATTTTGGACGATTTTTGTAGTATTTTCATCTGTAACAAAAAAATTGCCGCGACTTGTTCAGTAAAATTTTCAAGTTTATCAGTAATTCATTTTCTGATTTTTCAATTTTATGTTTTTTTCTTAAAAGTTGATGCACACAAAAAGAAAAACGCTTTTAAGACCAGAGAGTATCTAATTCACTCGATAGTTTGATCAAACAAATCTAACTTTATACGTATTTTACTGATATTCCGATTAGTTACTCGTAAAGTTTTCGATAATTTTGTCAAATTTCAGGAATTTTCTCATTGGAAACGCATATTTACTTGTGATTTAAAACTGTTTTTTTTATGTAAAAGTACAATTTTGGCGTGATGCAAGAACATCGTTATGTATAATACAACTCGATTCAAATGATTTGTTATCCTTCTCCTTCTCCTTCTCGACATATAAAATATTTATAGTACAAATGACCTAAGTATGTCAACAAGCTGCATTTCAGTTATCTATGAAAATCAGCACATGGATAAATTTCTTAGTCTTAGTCTTCTAGTCAAATGAAAATTGCACCTAAATTATGGCTGGTAAAAGCACATTTTCAAGAAAGTTCCTAGTGCGCAAACCAGAAACCGTTTCAAGCTGTGAATTGCTAAATTATCAAATGTTCGAGAGAACAGTGCTAAATTTAATAAAGTTGTGGACAAAATCCGAAGATGCATTTCACTTTAGGGTCGTTTGCAAGACACAGTCTCATGGCGTATTTTGTTCGGAACTTGCAATTTTAAAGTAAAGCGGCTCTGATAGCGAACTTTTATCCTTTGGTTTCTTTTATCTCCTTTACAAACGTGCTCTTTTTACTTTACTTATATCGACTACTTTGCGCCGAATAATGAAAGCTGAATAGGCAAATAAAATGCTTTTGTATATAAACATTTTTAAATAGCATCTTTTTCACTACACATTTTTTTGTATTCTTGTTAATAAACACTGAAAAGCCTGATTCTGAAATTTAAAATTGAAACCTCATTAATTGACTATTTTCGAACTGAAATCCGAAGCACAAATATATTTTATGTAAAACGTTATACCAGAAACACATAATGCAACAAAAAGAGAATGTTGATAAATATTGATCGAATGGTACAACACGAAAAAGAAGAATCTAAAAAAGTCGTTAGAGTTTCAGATTTTTTTCCCGAATTGTGTAACTCCGTTCCCCTGTAAAAGTTCCGGGAAGCGTGATGATGATGTAAATTGGGAACTTTTGGCATCCATGCACGAAATTTTAATTTCCAGAGTGCAGATAATCACAATGTTCTGACTCTGTTGGCTCAAAAGTTATCCAATAAATAAACACGCGCTTATCCAATGCTGCTCTTTAAAAAATGAACAATTAAGAATTATTTTCAACATTTCATGACGCTGCAAGACTGACACTTTGAGTGAAAATTCGACTAATTTTGCTTTATAAGTTGCAAGACTCAACCAGAGAGTCAGAATCTTTGGAGTTGGGTGATATTCACTATAAAAAACCAGTTCAGCAAACTGCTGTACTTATAAATGCAAATAAATCAATGTTGAAAACGTCTTTAAAAATCCCTGATGATGGTGCAAGCTTGGAACTTCCGGTTCCTGCGTGCATACTCTACAAAGTACAGAAGTGCACAAGTTCGCATTGATGTCAGTTCAAAAATTACAAAATGTGAAGCAACAACTTGTCCATACTGCTCTGGGCAAAAATTAATAAATTTTTAAAAGTGCTCAAGCTATGGCTAATGAAGGCGCAACACTGAAACTTTGCATAAGATACAATTGACTGCTCAGCAAACTGCAATAATGGCCAAAACTCCAACTCTTTCGGTTCAAAGAACATTTATTGCTAAAATGCACCCTCTTTTTACCTTCATTTTCTAAACTCAAAAAAGAAAAAAAAATTAGCATTTCAAATGTTTTATTGCAATAAACGAAAAAAATAAATAACAATAAATAAAAATTCTCTATTCTACTCTGATATTGTCACGTTCACTATGAACAATCTGCAAACGTTACGCTGGTTTGTACTCCGGTTGCAAGCCAAGAGGCAGAGGCATATCAAAGCTCCTTCCGTAAGAAGAGTGGCCGTAGCCTCCTCCTCCTCCATGCTCGTGCGCCTCTGAGTGACTGTGAGATTGAGTGTAAATCGGTTTGGAGACGATTTCATATGTGGTGGATTTGTGGCCTTGATGAGTGAGAGACTTGAGGCCGATGATTGCGGAAAGGAGCAAAGAAATTAAGCCAGTCATCAGGGCTTTTCCTGCTATTGCAGCTATGCCACCTGGAAAACGACACTTGAGTTTCGCCATGGAATAAATGTGATGAACTTACCTAAAGCCAGGGCCATTAAGGTTCCTTTCATCATTGCTCCAGCTGCCATCATCATTCCCATTCCGCCTCCCTCGCCGCCACCGCCGCCTTTCTTGCCTCCTCCGCCTCCTCCACCGCCGCCGCCTCCGCCGCCTCCACGACCGGTTGCTTGCACAGTTTTCCTGTCGAATATATCCAGACGAACTGCATGGCTGTTCAGATACGACGTTACTTTCTTCATCAAGAACGCATCCAGGCGCGCGTCTGGATCATTCGGAAAATTTCTTGCTAATTCCGCCACTATATCAGCAGTACTCGCTCGGGCACTTCCATTTTCACGCACTAAAGATACTCCTGGGATCACATTGTAATCATCTTCTTCGTTCAACTTATCCACCCAAGAAACAATATCCAGCTTCAGGCACGTTGCAGTATACACATTTCCACAATCTCTAGTCAGAGACTTTTTATAATCACTTTTGTCCGACGGCGGCTTTGAGGATGCATTTGGAGCATCTTCAGCGAGGGCGTTTAATGCCAAAAGGATTAACAAAAATACTGATCTCCCAGTGAACATTCTAAATCAGTTGTTCACCATTTGATATGTAAACGGACGCTCTGGCTAGTTTATATACTAAAACTGCCCGATGGTTAAGGCAAAAAAGCAAAAACATATCTTCGTATGCAGCCGCGGAAATAATACGTCAATATTGATAATTACTTTTCACCTGATAAGCTGTAAAACAGCCTGCATTTGAGGCGATTATTGCAAATCATTTTGTTACATTTACCTCCCCAGTGGATTGCAAACTAGATGAAAATAATTTGCTGCGAATGGACGTAACAGGCCCGGAGTATGGAGATTTCCGATTAATTGCTAATTAAGGGCCATTTTAACAATGCATAGAAAACATCAGAAACATTAGCAAAAACTAATCAGATTTGAAAGGCTGAATTTTTAAAACCCAGCTGCTTTTGCATTATTTTCTTGTGACCTTTGATCTACTGCTCGGAGAACTCGCAGGTAAAATTGCTCAATATCATTCTTAAACATTTGATCACTTTTTTGTTTAAAAATTCACCTTTAAAAGAACTGAAAGTCTTCCTTTATGTACGCAATTAGCTGTACTTTTCATACCTAGCTTTCTCGCTAAATATTTAATCGATCTTTTATGTAGATAACCTTTATAACTATGAAAAACTACAACTATGTAGTAGGAGTGTCTATCTATAAATCAGCGAAAAAATCAGCTTCATATCATTTTTCAGTGAAAATTAAGACACAAAGAGTTTTCTCAAGTAAGTGGACAAAGTACGTGCCTGTTAAACATCATAGAAACGAGTTTATCAATGAGCAAATCAAATGGCTTTCTGTAGAAAATTCAGTAGCGTTGCTTTGGCAGTTACGATAACAAAGCTTTCGAAAATCCCCAGATTTACTTCGTTTATTGGTCAACCCCCTGAGGCACATAGCTAGACTAATGATTTGAATTTTTAGGCAAAGAACCGCTAATGATCGGCTCATTAATGCAACCAGCCAACCTAAAGTCGAATGTAAAAGTAGCTTCACGTAGGAGCTCATGATCCGCGACACCTCAGATTCCGCATTCTTGGGCACCGCCACTGTTGCTGATATATTTGAAAAATTGCAGGACAGAAGAAAGTAGAAGCATGTCGATTGCTCTAGATTTAGCATTAAAATTTCAGATATGCACAAGATGCTATATATTAAATTTCATTAAAACTTACTAGGTAGATTAAGGTCATGTATCCGGTAATTGTTGATTAGTGGCTTTACTATTGACCGATTTCTTCTATATTAAAGCATCAAAGTGCATTTTCGCATTTTCACTTAGATGGACCATTTACTGTGAGCCAGATGCTCTGCAGAAGTGATAAGCAGCGAAAATAGTTTTTCAGCTTAATTTTTTGCTCAAATCATTTTTTATTTCTGCTGGTCATCCCTGCGTATTATAAATTTTCAGAGTCGTTCGATCAGAAGGCGGTAGTAATAGATACAACATAATTCGCAAATGAGCAGATTCAAAACTGCAATTTTAGAGAAGCAGCAACTTTGGCTCGACTGCAAATTCTTGCCTTAACAACTACGCTTTTTTAGAATAAATAAAAGGCATTTTATTCCGAATTTTGCTCGCTTGAAAATCGTTTTATCGTTGATTCATCCAAATCTAATGAATATTTTTAAAAATTGTTCAACTTATTCTCCTAATCGGTGGTTTAAAAAAACATCAACATAATCTGCCCATCACAAGACTCAAAATCCGAAACGGACTGGTAACTTACTTAATTAAACCATAAAACTGGTTCATGGGAAAGTTATCTATTAAATGAGTATGTGGCTTGTAAGTCGATTAATAGTACTTGTGTGATTTTAACTACTTTCGTCATGAGCATTTCTTAAAGATATAATGGCAAAATGATAGTTATTTTCAATAAGCATTCTGAAATTGCATCTGTTTGCCGGATTTAAATGGGAGAAGCACTTGTTATTACAAGTGCTTCTTCAAAATTTTTACAAAATCAGAATGCTTATATTTTGTTAAATAGAAACTTCATTTTGATCCACCAACCATAATTCTTCTTTCTCATAACATTGGGAATAAAGGAAAACTTTCAATGCAATTGAAGGGAAACTTACTTAAACACAAAAATAGTTAATGTTTTCTAAATCTATAACATTTGATTATCAAACGTTGTTCTGTTTTCAATATTGAAAAAAATTGGCAAAATTTATCATATATTTTAAAAAAGCGAATGAAAATTAAAATAGATTTTTGGAAGATTGGACATTAAACCTCCTTTGATTTAAAAAGGCCAGTTTTTGCCACGAAAAAATCTACATCCAAATAAAAATTCGGTCACTGCAAACGTCTGTCGTTTCTTAACTATATACACATAATTTTGGCTCAAAATTTTAAACAGTTTTTGAAGTAACTATTTTTTGTTTCAGACCGACCAGCTGAGTGTTTCTGAAGGTCGGAGCCCAAAAACATGTTTTAGCAACTTAATAGTATGGAGAAATGTATTTAATTGAAAAATAAAACCAAATACTAAATTGTAAAAAGTGTTTTATTTCCTAGAAATGCCCATTGCTTGAACTCGTTTGTCCACCATTTTAACTCTTCTACTAAGAAATTCTGGTAACCAAACACCTAAAGCTATTCAATAAATAATCCATCGAACGCATATTCATATAGCTTGATACTCATATGCGTTAACCAGACTATCGTCTAAAGCACCGGATCGGCTCCAATGTCCAACAGGCGTTGGTACCACTTCATATGAGACTTTCGAACCAGCATGTTCCAAAAGATTTTTTAGCGCTGTAGTTCCGGCTACAGCTAAGGCAGCTAGACTAAGCCCAAATCCCTTCAAAGACAGTAGAGCAATTGCCGATAGAACAATTGGTAAGATTATGGCGGCTTTCAGCTTGAGGAGAAGCAGCAAAGGAAGGAGTATTCTTCGTATTTTTTTACTTCTTGAACCTAAAAATTTACAGAATTTGAAACCAAGCAACAATTAACTAAAGTACACGTAAAATATGTACTAGATCTAACTGGCTTTAAAAATATATCGTTAACAATGAATGCAAAAGTCTTCTGCTGTGTAAAAAGGCAAAAAAAAATTTAAAGAAATTCTGATTCTGTTCTACAGCAAAAATCGATCGATGATGGTTCAGCATCTAACGACGCTAGTCTCAATCTAGCTCAATCTGAGCGTCCAGCAATGTAAAAATCGACGAAAAAAACTTAAAACCCTTTTCCCTGAAAATGCGAAGAGCGTCTGTTCTTCAAGCAAGGTCACGAACGTTTTAAAGCCGATGCCCCCCAAGCAAAATGTAAACAAGCACCTACTTTCTACCGCAGGAAGGGACAGGGCGTGACCGCTGGGTGTGGCATGCGAAGATGGAGAAGCGGAAAAGAGAAATTCATCGAGGTCAGGGCCAAGGCAGGAGACTGAAGAAGTTGGTATGTGGGTCAGTTGGTTAGCAATCTGTGACGCACCCATTGATCAATCAATCGAAGAAAGTCGACTGAACTATTTTCACCATCGGTGGATGGTTAAAAGGAACTGATGGAAATGGTGCTGCTCATTTCACAATGGTTTGTGGGGACACACGAACGTTGTTGGTTTTAAGATGAGTAAAAAAACCTCAAATTGTAATCAATCTCAGAAAGGCTTTGGTAACTCTCAGAAAGGCCAGATTCATTTTTGTTCCCATTTTCAAACCGGAATCCCAGTATTTCAAGCATAGTTTGCAAATTCTTTTCTCCTCCATTTCATCTAAAACCAATAGAAATGATCAGAAACCACTGGCGATTAAGACGATTATTCAACATTCTTCTGCTTTCTACCAGTCTCGACCAGAGCAACAGGTTGTTTGTTGGCAAGCTTGCAAGATCACGGTCGAAACCAGCAAAAAAATTAATCCATACATTAGAGCTACCAAACACGCAACCAGCAAATTAAATGCAGGACTGACAGAAGACATCCAAAAGCCTCAGAGTTCTTCTTAAAAAAACCTCTCAGCAATGATTCTAATGAAACCCCACAGGCAAGTAAATAGTAACAAACAAGTTAAAGACCGTGAAGAGAATGAAGAGAAGAATTTGGAATTTGGGAGCAAACTAAATTAACTAAACAAACTGACCAACACACTAATTTATGTAAATAATTAAATTAATGATCAACGACCCAGTTGCGCATTAACTCGTGAATATGATTAGTTGATATTCAGTGATGAACAAGCCCACAGTATTTTTTCTCAGATGTACCTGGTTTCAGTGTTCATTTGGAGTATGACAAATTAACGGGTTCCGGTATTAACGGCAGTCTAACTGGTTAATTGTACCATATTGAAAATTCGGCTGAACAGTTTTTAATTCAAAATGGCAAAATGGAACATCACCTATTCACCTATTGTACATTCATATCAGCGTACAAACCACAGATGTGTCCAAAAAAACACAGTAAATAAGAAAAAAATGTTATGAATCGTATGATGACCAAATGGAAAAATTACTTTTAAAACTACGATTTGAAATCACCTTGCTGCAATTCATCGTCATTAGCAACATGTGATTCCAATTTTAACCGGATCTAGCAGACTCACTGAAACATATCTTCGACTTTCTCACAACAAATAGAATGTAAAGCTGAAGCATTTTTTAATCATATTTTCTTGAGCATTTTCGAACCGCCACTTTCTTCCACCTTTCCATTCCAATCTGTGCCACTAATTATTGCTATTTTGTATCGAAAGTACCTGCTCGAGGTACTCGCTTGTTGTCGGATGCACAATTGAGTTTTTTCAATATATAAATGTGTAAATCATGGTTGGAAGTGAAAGTTCCCCATCACTTTCTCTAAATTTAGATCAGTTTGTTTGGTTTCCCTAACTGATTAGAACAACATTTTGAAAGTGCCAATATACCGCTTATTAAAAAGCACAATTTATCCAACTAACAAAAAGTCTCACCTGAAAATAAATCTCTTCCTTCACTTTCAGGCATTTTTATGACTAGCTCTCGACTAGCTAAAAACCGTGCACATCTGCTCAATAAATCTTCACTCAAATCACTCTCTTCTTGATTGGCTCTTCCTTCCTTCTTCTGCAAAACTACATAATCTCCAACTAAGGAAACTGCTGGTGTTTCCTCAAGTTCCTTTAAATAGTTAGATAACTTCGCTTCTTCGTAACTAATTTTATCACTATTATCACAATTCGCCAAAACGAAAATTGACACTAGCAAACCCACACGAGCTAATTTAATCATTTTCCAAAGCAATTGATGGAAAACCGATAGGAAAATGTTCGATAATTTAAAGCCTCATTGGTTTTATTGCGCATATTTTTGATAAGAAGGGGTGTTTAGATATTCAGATATGTAACACGGTAAAATAAATTCCTTTTGTGATCGTGTCTCGTCACGTTAAAAGCAAAAAAACTCTTCCTTATTGTGTATTCAGAATTAGAAAAATGGCTGTTAATTTATTCCTTAAATGTATTAATAGCCGTATTGTAGCTGGCTGCATACAAATGTATCAGAAGCAGACTATACCCTCAATATGTGTAAACATTCTTGAAGTTTATTTATAATTCGCCAGCATGCCACTGTAAGAGAAACATAACAGTGCTAATTTTTAGCGAACTTTCAGAAAATATTGTATAGTTTAGTCTTACCTTGATGCATTGTTAACAAAAATATTTTTGACTCTTTTGGTTTGCAGCAGCAACTTTCGAAGGTTTATTAGAACTAAAATAATTTTTGTTTTGAAGCAAAAAATTTGGAATGATATACATATGTGATAAAGAACAGAGAAGCACACGAAGAAAATGGCGATCAAATAAATAAACTAAAAATGGGTTTATCAATTTAAAAAAATGTTCCATCAAATGTTGTCGAGTTGGATACGAAAAAAAGTTCATTTTTGCACGTTTAAATAAAAGTAATTCTTAGAGATTATACGTTTGCTAATTGGTCGATATAAAACATGCTTGATCAATTTGTAAACCTTGACAAGTTTAAATTTTACAAGATTTTCTTTTTAATATTCATTATATTTTATTGTATTTGTCGCTTTTCTAGGGCCTTGCTTAGATAGTAATTCGAAATTGAAATGTTTTATTTACATTTTCTTAATTCATCGTCATTGAAAACAACAGTTATGTGATATATTTGAATAAACATATCACTATTTATGATCCTGTCCAATTGAAAAACTCTCCAGGTTATAAATTCAGTGGGCGTAACTGTACTAAAAAAATTATTCTGCATAATCAGTAAACGTGTTTATTACATTAAACTTAGTCTGTATATGTTTTTCCTCAATTCATAAATATGTATCTCTAATCTAATCTAATTTATTTGTTTTAAACTGTTACAGATGCAAAAGGTATATAATTTTCTAAATTAGCCAATCTCTAATAATATAATACTTAGTGTGGAAAGACCGTAATAAGTCTATAGCCTATTCTGAATAAGTCATATCAATATGAGTGAGAAAATGAAACTCGAGTACTTTTGACCCAGAATGCGAAATTTAAATATCAGATATTTAGGCGCAAGATTATGACAAAATTTCATGTTTCCCTCCAGTTTTTCTTCATTTCTCGAACGCAAAGTGAGCAAGAATGGTAATTTCTACATCATTCCAGAGAGAACTAAAAGGGCTTTTCAGAAAGTGAATCATCGTTTAGGAAATCTTGGTAGTTTTCTCAAGGCAAGATTTCATGAAATTTTAGATTTGCGTGGTTTTTGAGTTGCAAAATCGACTCAAACCTAACGCTGCTTTTTTCAAAGTTTCTTGAGCCCCATTTGAGCCACAGATAGAAAATTGAAAATTCGATTCAGGCATAATAACATGAGTGAGGAAATTCCGGTAGTTTTAATGCAAAAAGCGAAATTTGAATATGAGACACTTAGGTGCAAGTTTATGAATAATTTTCATATTTTTGGTCCCGTTTTTGTTCATTTCTCGGAAGCACAAGAACGCAAATATTTACATCACTCCAGAGATAAATAAAAGGCCTGTAGAAAGTAAACTATTGATCAAGAAATGTTGGCAGTTTTCTCAAAAAAGTCATGACTTCAAGAAGTTCAAGAACTTCAAGAAGTTTTGTGTTTGTTGTCGCGTGTTTTTTTTGAGATGCAAAAGCGACTCAAACATGACGCTTCTTTTTTCGAAGTTTTTCAAGCCCCATTTTGAGCCACATAATTTGTTATAGCATCGTTGGATAGAGAATTGAAAATTCGATTCAGTCATAACAACATGAGTGAGGAAATTCGAGTAATTTTCCCCCAAAAAATGAAGTGTTAATATCGTACATTGACCAGCGGCGGTTCTTGCTTTCAGGGTCAGGGCGGGGGTCATGTAGTCGAAATTGAGTCTTTTCTTGTCTATGAAATTAGAAAAATTATCGTTCGTGATCCACCTGTAAATATAATACAATTATGGACTTGAAAGCACCCAAAATACGAATATCTTTGCCCTTTAAGTTTTACATTCGCCATTGTTAACTTCTCTTGTACGCCAGCACCATCTAAAGAATGCGACGTTACATTACGAGATACTGGGTACTCATGAGCATCTGATAAATTGCCGTTATGAGGTACCTTTACTTGGATAACAGTAACCGCTTTCGCATTTCCTAAATGCACCATCTGTTTAATAAGTAATAAACTGGGTTTCACATTATAGTTGGTACCATCAGGTACCAACAGATCATAAATTCTTCACAGCCAAAATAAAAGATTTCTTGCGTCCGCACTTGACTGTATGGTTTCTTTGCTATTCACCAACATGTTGATTTTCGAGCTTTTATGCTCTTTATTAAATGCTTAGATGGCGATATTAACATTAGAAGAGAGAAAATAATCACGTTTTAAATCTTAATTAGCCTTTAGATAAATTTTCTATTGTTGTGCATCATGTGCAATAATTATACCTCATAAATATGAAAGCTGAAAGATTCGCATAATTTACATTTTAATCAGAATGCACTTTATTTATAACTCAATTAACGCATGTTTCTAAAGAAGCTAGAATGGACAACAGGACAAATTAATCGCGATAATTTGCAACGATATCTTTAAACAAACGACAACCATAACTAACAAGTCATACCATTAAAACTGGCACAAATATGAAAATGAAGACGTACAATAAAGCAGTAAGGAGAAAGAGTTGCAGCACAAGAACAATAATAAGCTTAAAAAAGTAGGAAGAAGTAAAATTAAGCGATGGAAAAGTAGTGAGAACCAAATCCTTGAATACAATCTTATGTCTTGGATTGTAAATTGCAAAAACAATTTTAGAGTAAGATTTTCTTTAAACAATATTTTTTTAAATTTTTTGTACTGTTAAGCTAGTTTTCTCCAAAATAGATCACTTAACAAATTTTCCCACTACGGCATAATTTCCATTTGTCAAAAAATAATATAAAGTTTAAAATAGTGCAAAAAAGTTCAAAAATATATGTTTTGCAAGAAGATTTTACACAAAAGCAATAATGATTTTGCACAATGAAACATCCAAAACGTATGTCTTTTTCGCCTGTTTGTAGTCATTTTATTTATCAGATTACGTTTTACTGATACTGATTTACTAATTTCTGCGTCAGTTCATCTAAATGTTTTTCCTTACTTCGAATTGAAGATTAACTTTTTAATAACGGAAAAAGTTCCATATACATTTTGGAAGCGCAATGAATCAAATGGAATTGGAGGAAAGCTGCAATTTTGATAAATTGGAGATTTAATTGGCTCAAATTGATATCGTAACTCGGCATTACTTTTAGTTTCACATTCAATGCAAATTATAATTTCACCAAACGATAATTTTGGAATGACCAATTAACTTCAGAAATAACTTTCATTAACTTCTAATAAGAAAGCTTATGGAACATTTAAAAATTTCTAAGGTAAACTCTGAAAACATACAAATTAAATGTCCATTGAACCCAGAAAATGACGATGTTTCAGGTTGAAATTTAGAATAATTTATAACCGTAAATTGCGCGAAAAAACAATTTTTTGCAGGCAAACCTCTGGGAACAATTAACTGAACAACGCTGGAAAAGCGGAAAATTTTACCCAACACAAAGCCCCATTGTACTAAAAGTGTCCCATTTGCCCCGGCACATAAGTGCTAAGTTGGCACAAACAGCAATAAAAACTGTGCTTTTCAATAACTGATGTTAACAGCTTATTTGTTATATGCAAAGAAGGTGGACGAAGTTCAGAAAATTGCAGATACATTTTGATTTACATCAGTTGTTCACTTATATGAATTGGCTAATTTTTGAAAACAACTGTCCGGTAAATATGGTCAGTTCCTGAATACGAAGTTTATAAGTTATGTGAAGAAATTTATTTTCTGAACAATTCAGGCTCTGACTATGACCGGAGAATACTCAATTCAAAGCACACGTTCAGCGAAGCTTTAGATGAACTCTGAACGCTATTAAAGCACATTATTTTGTATGTTGCTTGAGTTTATTTGATACTATGTGGATTAGTAAGATGTTGAATACAAATTAGCAGATGTTTTGCTCTTTCTGATAAGTTGAGTTCAACTAAATACAGTAAAGTATTTATGCTTATGCATGCGGACTTTATATCATTGTGTTTATATCAAAGTGTGTTGAAAACTGGATGTTTGGAAAAGCCTAGAATTTAAAACCGTTGGAAGGTTTGTTGCCAAGATTCCCCAAGTTTTCAACTTTGTCTACAAATAAGTTTGTTAATTTTTTTTTACTTCAAGCTACTCATTTTGTTAGCAATTAGATAATTAACGCGTAATCAGTTCGAAGTAGGCATTGAGTTACTTGAGCGTGGAAAAAGCGACTCCCTTAAAACAGCTGTAATCAATAGACTGAAGAAATGATCCAACACATCACTTGAGTTTTGGTGCCATAGTTATGCAATAATATATTGAATCTTTTGTAGATTTTATTTGTTGATGCTTTGTGTTAAATTTGATGAATCTGGTATTTTTCTTATATCATTTTTACATGCTGACCCACGTAGAGCCCTTGGACTTCAGATTGAAAATCTTCTCACCAAAAGATATATCTAAAATTGAAATTTTCTTCTACTTATGTTTATACCAGGAGTAACTGATTGATTTTTGTTAAAGTTATGTTAACTAGCACTTTTAAATTTTGTGCTTATAAAGGTACTGAAAATTCCATGTTAATTTGGAAATGTTTTTCAAAAATGGTTTAATTTGGGCAAACAATAATTAATAAACGATGATAGCGCAAGTGGGGACCCAACAACGTCCCAAAGTATGCCAGCAGCCGATAAACGAAACCGAAGAACTTGAGTCTCAACTATTCGCGCCAAGCCGGTTGTCGAGAGAACGTCTTCAGCATGGCCTGTTTAAGTGTTCCAGTTTGGACATGCGGCCGCGACTGGTGACCAATGAAAGTGTGACGTATCGATGTGTTTTTTCTTAATCGCAACCTCAAACAAGCGGAAGTCGGGCTGGATATCATGCATCCTTTAACTTATCGTTTAGTTTTCACCGGCTTGTTCTGTTTGGTAAGTGCTGTTTACGGAAGTGAAAATGTAACTATTGAAGAGGTGCCGGTGGAAGCGCTGGTCAATCTAACCGGCAACAATGAGCTGTGGACCGTGCTGTTAAAAGACTGCAAAAAGCCGACGTTGATTTGCGTGCAAAACAACATCTTCAAGTATCTGAAAACCACGTTGGATGAAACTGAAGATCTGCAATTCAACAACTTTCTGAAATTCTCCAAAAACAAGCTCAACTACGCATCCGCTGAAAGAGCTTTTGACACGAACAGCACTGATGAAGAAGCTGACGATGATGAATCTCCAATTGAAGCCATGGCGCGTACGCTCAAAGACAACACCGCGAAATTCTTCATGACCCATGATCTGGAAGTGGCTCTTCCGGATGGACTTCTACCGAACAGCGTGCTCAAAATCGCTCCACAGGGATTCGGAAACAATGCGGCCCAAGTCCATCTGGAAATCGTCTCCAAAGATCTGGATGCAGCAAGAGCACTGCAAGAGGGGGGCAGGACATTTAAACGAATCCGTAAGTTCCGCTACTGTTGAATGAAAGTTGCACTTGCGCGCATGCAATTGTTTACTGAACTTGTTGTTCAGCTAAATGAAAAATTTGCTGGTTCCAAATAGGAGGTGATACAGGATGATTCAAAATTGGCGTCATGCTTCTTGAGGTTCTTTTGGACTCTGGACCACGAACAACTAGAAGAATGGACAGTATACATATGTTTTAGTGCGAAGTACAAGAAGCAGGCTTAGCTTTCAGTCTTGTTGTCCCAACCTATTGGAATATGTGCCTTGTCAGGGCCATATTTGTGTGATGAATGTGAATAAGAAACTGTTTAGACCTATTTGAGTTTTGGTCACGCTAAAACAGCCAATAAGGAAAATTGTGATTGTCCTATCCTGTGAAAATTGCCAGAAGCTGCAGCTTTTGAAAAATGTTCTGCAACCAAAAAGTTTTCAGGAACAGTTGTCCTAGTTTCCTTTGATTAATATAGAAAATTGAAGGTGGCAAATACAACTTACTTAATTCTGTGCAGCTCAGATGTTGCCTTTATTTCGATCAACAGCATATTCAGATGGCCGTGTGTTTATTTTAATTGTCTACTTCCACGTTCCTTTTAAATTGTTCTTGCTTTCAATTTTTTTTATTCATGACAGCCTTAAAACTTTTACTGTGTTGACTAATATTGTAACAATATTTAATTATTACTAAGACAGCAATTCTGTTTAAAAATTCATGGGTCTTTTCAAATAAAAACTAAGCCAAAAAACGTCCACTGCAGGAAAGTGGTAGATTTGACAAAACTCTTCTCACAACACGCCCCTTATCGGTATAATAGAATTTGAATCAGTTTGCAGACGCCAAACCTTTGCGGTGAGAAGAAGCTTTAATTTAGGATTTAGACAAAACGATATTTACTTCAGGAAGCATCTTGCTTAATGAACTCATTATTTTCTCATCAAAACAGTGTCTACTCGAACTAAAAATGCCTCACTTAATTTTATTTACGCAGTGCATTCGGTTATTAACAATATACAGCTGTCCTAAAGAAGCAACATGAAGATCCGCTGTCCCATGACAAACAGGTGTTTCCTCAATATGTTGCCAACTTCTCCGATCAAAAAGAGAGCGTCAATTATTCTTGATAGGAGATTACCAGCTAAATGAAAAAACTTGCGAATAAATGATTAATCAGCCGACTTGTCAGTTCACACAATAGTTGAAGAATTCTAATTAATTCGCATCTCATCAAAATGAATTCTCGATAAACTAGACGAGGAAAATGAGGTTGATTCGATATTTGAAAGTATTTGGCACATTGATTTTGCCTTTTAGTTTGGGCGAGGTTTCTGTAAATGTAAAAACTTGAAGAAACTCTGATTAGTACTACTAAAAAACCAAACATATAAGAAGACTTATTTCAGGGAAATTTATCAACGAGCGGATCATTTACGCCCTTCTGGCACTTCTTCTTGTCATTAAGCTGCTGGCTTTCAAGTTCCTGTTCCTCCTGCCTTTGATAGTAGGCGCCGCCACCGCTAAGAAGCTGCTGCTCAAGATTCTTCTTTTTGTGTTTCCGTTCTTGCATCATGTCTTCAAGTTCTGCGCTTATTACCCAATTCAGGCCAAGTATCATCACCATAAGCATTTGATATCACATATCCATCAGGTGGGTGTCCAAACGAATATTTTCAAGCACTTAATTACTTAATTTTAATTATTGGTCATCAAACTAACGACTTTCATTGACGAATCAGGTCGCTCCCCATCACGACTTCCATGATCAGCATGAGTCTTATGGGCCTCCAGCAGAAGAACACCATGGGCCTGACACTCATTTCACTGAGTTTGATGATGATGTCAGTGTTTTGCCTGATGATGGTTCTGGGTTCCCTCATGGGTAAGACACTTTTCAACAAAAATGTTCTATAAACCTGCTTCCAAGTACTACAAGCCATACATGTTCGTCAAGTGTTGACTAAGCGCGGGTCACAATAAACGGAAAGATGTTCTCTAGATACATAAATTACATTAGCAATGAATAATATTGTCATTGTTGTGCGATCAAAATGCGTGCGTTGATATTATTACTGTTATTAGGCCTTTCAACTGGAAAGCCATTTGTTACTAATTGGGGTCTTTTCATATCAATGATAATACTTTATAATAATGAAGTGTTACAATCGATTCAGCGTAATTGAGCTTATGGGCTAATCATTGTTTTAGTGAGAACTGGATGATTGCTTTAAAGAAATCAACAGTAAGATTGGTAAGGTTTCTCTTCATCACTGCCAGGAAAATTGTGCGTTTACTCATCGGAAAGTAAGCTAGTAGCCAAACTAACGTAGAACTAACAACAGCTAATTGAAAATTGCATTTTTCTAGCCCTTGGTTGGTTGAATTCATTAAGCGCTTCCTAAAAAATTCGCTTCATTGGAGCATTTTTTTGGTTCCGCAGATCGTTAAAACAGTGGCAAGAAAGTAAGACCGATTGAATCTTTTTAAAAGAAAATGTTTCAAAGTCGTGTTTTAGTCCTTGGATTCGGGAGACCGGAAAAGAGTTTTTTGGCAAATATTTTCATTTGTTAATCACATACTTTCCAAGACTTCTGCATCTATCGGCGTCCAAGTAAGAGTAGATGGTAGTGTTTGAACACCAGTAGCTGGCACCATACACATAGCAAATGTAGCTGCACTTAACAGAATCCTAAACATTATTTTACAACAAATATAAAACATAAACGGAAACATTTAAAAAATTCAAATGCTCGATGTCTTTTTAAGTTATTTTCATGTGTACACTCAAGAATCTTCACACGTTCCTTATTTTGTTTGATTTTGAAATTAGTGAACATTTTCGGAAAAGCGCCGCCTGACAATAGTAAAGCAACTTGTAAAAATGGATAAGGTGCACTTCGTTCTTCTAACATTTGATTTCATGGAATTTTCAAACTGGATGAATGTTTTTGAACCTGACGATTCTACGAGAGCATGCCAAATTTAATCAGTAATTAATGTTTTGTTCAGTTGGGGAAATTAAGCTCAGCTAACGTATATTAATATGTTTGTAAATTCAAAATTATTTCGTTCAGTTTTCAGCAAAATGGCTTGAATTATTTTTCTGGAATTTTTAATTTTTTCATGAGATGTTAGTTGGACTTTCCGAAGTTGAATTTTTCATTCCATAGGTTACTCAATCATAACTTACTCATAATCTAATAATAATTACAATCATAACTTACTCAATAATTTTCAMACTTTTTTCAAACAACTGCAAATCCAGTACCAGAACTCAGTTCAATAGTTTGGTATTTGCTCAGAATTGGAAAAAGTTAAATTTGTTCTTCATACACTAGTTATTATTGTGCAATCTAGATGAAGTAAGTTGAAGAAAACTGATAGATTACAAATATAAGAAGCCAAAAAACCACTTGTGTTTTAAGAAACAAACAAGTGAATCAAGGTGAAAATTTGAAAATCCGGTTTTTTGACATCACTGGAAGGAAAAAAGTGTAAATATTTAATTGGAATTAAAGGGATTAATTGCTTAATCTTGCAAAATTTCCAATTAATAAAGCGGTTTTAAATACCTAATATTTTAGCTTTTTGAAAAAAATTGTAGCACTGTTTCCACAAAAGGAAAAACATCGGTTAGGAAAGATATGCAATCAATGTACAATTGAGGGTCTTTCGGGCAGGAACAAGTTTAACATGTTTTTATTTGTAAAATTATTACGGGCTTAAAAAGATTTTCGATAGATTTTGTGAATAATGTTTCGGTATTTTGACAGTGTTTTGATCAACAAATCTTAAATTGTATMGATAAGCAGAAATTTATTTGTCTTCTAGTAAAGAATAAGTTTTTCTTCAAGTTTGTTAGTAACAATAAGCAAATTTTTTAATTGCTTTTGCAAAAATAGTCCTTGTTATAATATATTTCAAAAATTTATTCAACAGTTCCAATAAGCCCCACTAAGTYTAACAGCAAACAAAGAGAAAAATTTGGAAAAAATCAAATAATTTTGATAGTATTTCAGATGTGAAGACTAAGTTATGTTTCATATATAAATTGAAGCCTTCAAGTTGAACATGCTTAATTTGTTGAAATGTTGATAAATAATGTAATAATAAATAATTTTGTATGTTATTATATGTATTAAAATTTAAAAGCAAGCACGTAGACGACACTCGCACATGTTCCTAGCAAACTAAGAAAATACGTGATCTGTATTCAGCTGTTGTTGTATTTAAACATGCATGGGTAACTTTAATAGCTTGTTCGAAGCTAGCATAAAACCACTGGTTAAGATGCATCCGCATTGTGAAAGTTTAATCCGTTTAGTACTCATTTTTCACTACTTAAATTTTAAGATTTTTTGACGCTGATCCAGCTGAAGTAAATTTCCATCGTTCCCAATTTTCTGAAAGTTTTAATTGATGTTGTTAAACAGTGACAAACTCTGATCCTTATACTAGAACAATTGATAAGAGGGAAATCGTCTTTTGCTACGCAAATTGATTAACAAACACCAAGGCTCCATCTCTGAAGGTTCCAGACTCTATTATGTGAGAGTTAAAATTCTATTCAGCCTTCGCTCTAAAGCCACAATTTCTAATCTGGCACTGATTCATCAATATATTTTATTACGTTACAGCAAATATATCTAAGCTGGTTAGTTGACCTCCTTTGGAAGCATCGGCTTTGCTTTCGTTCCGATTTTTACAGCGAGTATTAGCGATTTAATTATCAACCTGAGTAACACATTCTTTTATGAATGACATGCCACAAGATATTGATGTTGCCTTTTACGCTTCAAGCTGCGGAAGATCGGACAGTATTCATATGTCCTTCATATTGAACCGTTTATATATAAATAGCAACCGAATAGTTGTGCGTGTTACGATGTAACCGGAGTTTGGTCAATAGAATCGCCGAATTATATGACTTTATTTATACTGAACTCACTTGTTACTTCAGATTAATATCCCATCGAAAAGACCCAAATCAAATCAACGATTTATCTCCTTATGGATCAGTTCATCCGACTAGACGGAAGCCTGGTAGACCTTTAACCTCGACAGAAATCGAAAGGATAATCGCTAAAGCAGAGAAAGAGGCAATAGTAAGTGAAGTTCTTCAGCAAGCTTCCGTTGCTAGATGTGTTGATTTTCACTTTTCAATCGGTAAATTTCAGATAAAAGCTCGCTTGGAGAAAGAGCGGCTTCGAATCCGGGACGAAAACCTCAAGCTGCAGGATCAGCTGAACCAAGCCATTAAGCTCCAAGAAAAGCTGAAGCAGCAGGCAGTGTATTTGAACAAAAAACTTCCACCTACAAAAATAGGTTCTTCAGTTTCATACAATAGGCTTGCGGGAGGTGCAGGTGGTGCAGGAGGCCTCCATCCGCCTCCCCTCCAAGGCTCGCCCTTTGATGTGAGCAGCGCGAATTCAGATGGTATGTTCTGCTAATGCATGTTTGTGAATTTTCTAGCAGTAAAATTTTAATAGAAATCGCTATCCTGCAAACGAGCACGAGTCTGAAAGCGTGGGTATTTAAATTAGTCACATTCAACCACAATAATACTCCATGAAACTTCATAAGATCACGGTTCTAGTCGAGGAATTTTCAACGCAAAGATTAGCTTCAAAAGCTCAGGTAGCAGGTGAAGGAACTAATCGAACAATATGGCTTCATGACGCCTGTTTCGCTTGCAAGTCGATGAATGAGGAAGGAGTAGAACCAAACACGCGCGGGTCTAAGACAGTTTTTACTTAAACGGACTTTAAAATGCAGTTGTTGTTTCAATGCTTCCGCCTGCTAATCTCTTAAGTAGGTCGCCGTGTGAAGATACGGTATTAGCGACTAATTGAACCGATTATTTGCCGGCACGAGCAGGCAAAATGTGTGTTTAATCAATTTCTGATTATTTTTCTAGCAGAAGCTAGAAATTCCAATTAAAAAATTACTTTTCAACCGGAACTTTTCTGTTGCCCTTTAGGTCCAGGTCTTGAGCTGCCTGCTGGCTACATACCACAACACACTGTGCCTCAACGGCCGGTACAAAGTGTTTCACAGCCTCAGCAAAATGTATTCGACCAAAAATATCAAACAATCCACCAAAATCACTTCGAGCAACAGTATCAGAACAGCTTACAAACGAAACTCGACCAGCAATATCAACCCACGCAGCTGAGCGCTCAGAAACAACCTTCTCAGCAGCCTGGCCCGGTTTATAAGCCACAAGCTCAGAACCAGCAGCCGACAGTGGTTCAGATACAGAAGTCGGTTGAGTACGATCCGAGAATTGGGTCGTTTGAAAACAGCAAAGAAGTGCAGAGCGTTGGAGCTGGGGCTCAGAACTTCAATGTGCAGAAAGCGGCTCAAAACGTGGATAAAACCCGCAAAGTTGAAAAACCAAGTTCCACAACGCCAAAGACTACATTGGAGCAGGTGAGTTCCGATTATCTATTAGCAATTTTTCGGTTCCAGTAGGTGAAAGGGAGTGGCTCGGACGGTCTAATTACTTTCAAAATATCGCAGATTTAAGCTGGTGGTGAAAGTAATCAATTTGCTCTTGAACAATTGATCATTTGTGAGAGATAATTCTTATCTATCTATTAAAAACGCTTTTCGTGTAAACGGAATAAAATTTAAAATTTGAAAATTTCATAATTATATTACATTTAAACCAATTCTTCTTCGTGACCTAACAATACAATATTGTGACATTTTATAAACTTTTGTGGCCCGATTTATAGCCGATCTATTGATTCTAGTGTTGACTATTAAAGAAAATTTAGAATAAAAGTTAGAAGTACCAAGCAGGAAAAACTTGAAAAATATTGCAAATAAATAGGATCCAAGTATCCGAATAAGATCGGAAACAAAATTAATGGTCGTAAACTTCCAAAGGATTTTTCTCATGAAGAATGTTTCATCATTTTTCCCAAGAAATGTTCCCAATTAAAGTGCAATTTTGAAAATTGAAAAGATTAATGAAACAGCTCCCAAATATCTGAGAATCTCAATCAGCCAGTTTCCTCTAACGCTTTTCCTACAATTAGAGAAATTTTGGCTCAGCGTAGATAGTAAACTAGTAGACTTTTCCCAGAATAAAATTTAAATTGGACACTTTTTACAGTTACATACTGAATTCGGTCCACAAATTCGATTCTCGTCGAACATTTTCAAAGCCAAAATTAAATTTCCGATAGCACATTCACTGCTTCTTGTCAAATACATTATTAATGAGCGTTTGGATTGTGATTTGTATTTTATTATTTCAGGCAATCTACCAAGCAGCTGCGATCACTTTTGACCCATTCTATTCGCCAATTTTACAGAAAATCGATAAAATCCTCCAGGGGCTGGGATTTAATGAGGAACCATGTAAAGAAAGATTGATTTGCAGCATGTACAAAAATCCCACTACTTTTAGCCCCCACAGCAATTTACTATCAGCTGAACTTAGCAGGTGAGTAACGATCACATGCTACAATTCAAAGATTTTTGCAAGCTCAAAAAACATCCTGTTGTAAAACACACGGCAAATAAAAAATTCTGATGAACAGATAACAAGCCAAATGTATTCGAACGGTACAACATACAAATTTCACCCAGTTTAAAACGAAACTCTTGATTTGTAAGCAAGAAAGACGTTTACCTTGACCAAGGCAATGTGTTTCACTGAAATTTACTTAATAAATATCCCGGTCACCTACTCCGCTGTCAATGCATTCCGAATAATAATCCCATTAAAGAATAGCCAGATCAGTGCTTTCAGACTCGCCCAAAAATTTGAAATTTGCTTAAAAAATCACACTAACTCCTAATATTTTATTAGCTTTTGAACCCTTTGACGCGTTTGTGTAAAATATTAAAAAAACATATTCTGAAACTAATCAAAATGAACACATTGCATGTACTCATCCATAATTCAAATGCTGGAATTTTCAGAAAACTTTTAAAAAAATGTCTTAATAGCCAAATAGTTTGAAGAATTTGCTCTATTTTTAAACCGAAATTGCAAATGTCATTGCCGAAAGTGTTCTTTCTCCTTGTAAACAGAAACATATTTTTCCGGTTCAATTGCCAAAATCACCTTTAGGAACCTGATTTGCTCAACTTGGGTATTTCACTTTTATATCAGCACATGTCCGGAGAAAGTCGTTGGTGGAATAAAACGGAACCTAAATCGTATCTGAATATTGGTCGTATCCGCAGATTGTTTGATTTTTTTCTTGATCACGTCGGCTTGCTGCAGACAAGTGGGTTTTTCTCAATTTCAAGCTGCTAAATTTTTCAGTTTTTATCACGGTCTAGTGAAAGAAGTCTTTGTTCCGGTTAATGAACCGTCTTTTCAGTTCCTTTGCCTTTGCAGCTCAAGTAGGAGGATTAAAAACCAACAATCCAATAATAGTTTTAGCAACTGAAAGCTATTACTTCTAGCGTCTTATAAAGGTTCTTCCAAGCAAACTAAAAATAATTCAGAAAAGTGGGAATAAAATTGAAATTGACCAAAAAGATTAATGTCGCACATTGACTTCAAACAAATCATCAGACTGATTAGTTTCTTTAATTCTAGAGACTCCAGTGAATTGCAGAAACCAACTTCGACCAATTCTGTAGTGGTGCGGTTCTATAAATATGTGCAGGCAGCTAGAGATGGCCAAGACCAAAGAGATTGCTTGAGATTGTATCCTTCATGCACCATCAACACTGAAGTATCTTAAGCATCGCTTAAGGATGATGGAAGAACATAGACAAATAACAGTGTAGAACGTGCAGTTTTGCTCCAAACCAAATATTAACAATATTAGTCTGTAGCATATTATTTATTCATTGTCGTGCCAAATACTCTTGGACTTTTTATTTATTTCTCTATTTTAATCGCTGGACGCTCATGAATTAGTAATAAATTTATTTTCCTTCAAACGTGTAGGGTTTAGTGTATGTTGCAACCGCTTGTTTGAAGCCCATGCTTACTCTGGACTCTCAAGCACTAGAAAATAATTTATTTTTCTCCAAACATGTAGAGTTTGTCTTTTATTTATTTCAACTTATTGACGCTAATTTATAATAAGAAATATTTTATTTAAATTTAAAAATAATCCATTAGATAGTTGTAAGAAAAATGCTCAAAGAATGTTTGGGTGTGCTGTACATAAACGACAAAATGAGTTTGATCTAGTTCTGCAAATTGCTTAGCTTTTAGTTGGGTCTAGTTCTAGTTTTATAGGAATTATTAAACGAATTTGTTAATGGGTGATGGGAAAGTCGGAAAAAGTTTTTGTTTAATAATTCGATAGACAATTTTAGCAATAAGATAAATTATTTGTTAATCTGGATAAATCTGGAAAATGTGGGTTTAGTTCTTAGAAGTGCATTGTGATAATGCATTTACCTGAAGACAAAAGTACATTTTACCTTGCGCTGAAAAACTATATTTATTTTTTCAAAATTAATAAAAAACGTGTTGATATTTAACGATTGAATAAAACATTTAGAAATCAATTAGGGCTATTATTGTTGGTTCTATTTGAAATTACTCTGGGAGGAAACCGAACGATGAAACCATTCGCATTATCGGCTATCCGTAAACTTGGCCTCGATGACGAAAGTCTGCGATTGCCCGTGAAAACCTTCACATGTGTGCCCAATTATTATCCGATTAATTGCATAGGTTCCTAAACTTACACTTTGCTCCGGAATATCCTCACCCAATGATTCTTCGGAAGTGTCTTCAGTATCTTCATAATACTCACATGCGTCTTCTAAATAACCTTACAAACAGTGCCTGATTAGGTAAAACTATCTAGTTACCTCTCGTCAACACAGCGTCATCTAGCAGCTTTAAGTTAGGCAGAATTCGTTCGATTACTCTTCGAGAGTTAGCAGCCAAATCCATAATAGCTTCATTGCCTTCAAGCCAAAGGTGAACAAGCTCTGGGCAGAGGTTTAAGAAATTTACTGATCCTAGGGATTTAATGCTATTCCTGAAGCAATAAGCTACTTGAAACCAAGTTGATGTTGTGGTTGTTAAGCCATACCTACGAACGTCAATAATTCGCAGGTTTGAGAAAAAAGCGCATGGAGATAAGTCTTTGATAGAATTATCTGCTGCATAAAGTTCCTCCAAGTTCTCAAATCTGCAACGGCTGCTGTTAGAATGTCTTTAATTAAACAGCTAAATGTGCGTAAAGGCAGTCCTCATCATAAACTTGTATGAACTACTATTTTTGTTAGTTATATAAATATTAACGAGACCAAAGAGTTCAGTGTGAATGGTGCTCATTCCAGAGTATGCAAGTAGCAAATTTTAACCAAACAATAAATCTTGCTGTTTTGCTGTTATCATCCCTTTCTACTAAGGGATGTTGTTAATGCATTTCCTTTCAAACAAGTTAGTCGTTGTTATTTTGCAAAAATCTCAGACAAACTCGCTATTTTATTTATTAGTCGTTCTTGATTTTGTCAAGATATTCTTTGAAAGCAGCCTGAACGACAAATAGATGGAGGACGTCAAAAGTGTGTTTAGATTGCTGAAGCAAATGTTATGCTTTTGATTGAGATTCTATTAACTCTTATTCTCTTTCGCTTTCATGCCTTACTCGATCAGTTTCTTTTAGCGCGAAATTTCTCTTTATTGGATGTTTCAGAATATGAATGTCCACTACTTATAACTCACACATTTTTACTGGACAATTACGCAGTAGCACTACGTGATACTAATTTAAATTTCACCGTGCCAAAATATGCATAAACACTTTTACTTTTCGCTTTATTTAACTTAAAAAAACGGGAATATTCCGAAAATATTCCGGATTTTGATTAAAGAATTCCATTAGACACTTGAGTCTGTTTTTTACTTCAATGTTCTTAAATGCCAATAGAAGATCTTTACCCAAATACCCCATCAATGCACGTTAGCTGGCATCTATTCACTTTGAGAATCTTCAAGTGCCTCAAACCATAGCCAAGATCGCGAAAAGACGAAATAATACTCCCGTCAAGTGTAAGTTCTCTTAAGGCAGGCAAGTAAGTGCCCAATTGTTGTAAAGCCACTTCCCGTGCAATAACTCGAAGATTAATTTGAGTGACTGTTTCCAAACGTTCAGTACCTGAAACTCTGACCTGAAAAAATGTGTTCCACTTTCCAGGCACATTTTAAATCATACTCTTTCCATCCTACCAAAAGCTCTCGAATGTTGTGCTCTAGTGAAACCAGATTCGCAAAAACAGAACCAACTACCAAATCGGCCAATTCATCAACCAGCACTTCTTCATGGGACTCACTTCCACTCGATTGAATTCCATCTGAAAGGGACGTCGATGCACTTAGATCAGAAATGGGAGTCAGAGTCAAATTGATCTGATTCTGATTGGGCTCAATTTCCACTAAATCGGGCATTTGGTTTTCTAAATTCGGACTCATTTTGCCACTCCGGAGGAATATAAACTAAGATTTACTATGGGAACGAATAAACAAATGGAAAGTATTGATTTTCGCCAAGATGTGACTAGTTTGTCCTAAATACGAGTGTTTCCGGTAAACTAGGAGGCTAAGGAAGGAAACCAACTTAAAAACATACAGGAACATAAGAATGTGGACAAAAAACGCTGATAAAAGCAGGAAATAATCAGGCAAATAAAACACCTCAAATTTCAATGGTCAACTTTGTTATTTAGAACATACTTTTCTTAAGTCTTTCCTAAACTATGATGGAATATTTTCGTGGAAATCCTCCTGAAGACTTTCAGATAAGTGAAACCTCTTTTGCTATTAGATATGAAACTCCCGCAAAGGTTTTCCCATTGATCTTCTATATTCACAATAATGTTAGTTGCAGAGAAAAAAATAATTTTGGATGTAATAATTTCCCCATTCTTCTTTGATGCTGAATTGATGGAGCTCTCATATTTCTTCATCTAAATGAGTACAGAAAAATGCATGGTTCAGTATTAGTTATTCTATTGATACTTCAAATAATATACAGGGTGATTTAAAATTGGCGCCATTCCTTTTAAGGGGTGATAGAGGCTCTCTTGAGGAGTACGAGAAAAATATCGAAAAATTGTTTTTCCAAAATTTCTAGAAGATATTAACAGTTGAATATCGAATTTCAACTTTGTTATTAAGCATTATTTTGAAATGGTTCCATGCTTAACTGGTAGCATATTTAAATACTTAAACACTCAAAAAGAAAAATTACGATCTTTGCTTCAAATTACGAAAATTTTTGATATCAAAAAAGTTCTCTTCTACAATTTTTTGATGAAAAGCCACAGCGGCAATGATGGTTTTTGTCACTAACAGATAGTTACAGGTGGATAGCCCTTGTCAATAATAACAATAATTCGTCAAACTGTGACTTACTTTGAATTTCCTTTAACGAATTTGCTGATATGCGATTAGTTCTGGGGA